TTTTTTTTTTTTTAAATTCACTCCAATCGGGCAGACGTATTTTTATTTAACGTTTATGTGTCACCTTGAATCTCAAGTCACCGAGGGGTGGCTCCGCATAAGGGATGCCTTTGAACGAAGAATACTCGATCGAATGCCACACTGTGCGCAACACCAAGCCACGAACAGGTCCACTGGCTGACCTGACAACAGGAGTTGTCGCAGAGGAACTCACTGTCAAAGATAGCAACGATGAGACGAGAAGAATAAAGAGTAAGAAACTTGCGCCATTCATGCTGATCTCTCGACGAGGGTACAAAATTTCCTTACGAATTTTGATACTTTAGTGACGCGCATCTTCGCTCCGACGAATGTGAACTGGATATTAAAGCCGTCTCGATCAGCAGAATTTTTTTTTCTTTTTTTTTTTTTTTCACGGCGTGCAGAATTTTTTCTTGCGTATTGAGAGCATCGCGCGTTTCAAATTTCAGCTGACAATACTCTTACGTATGGAGAATATGGAATTGTGTCAGTTGTACGAATTTATTACGGGCACGAGTAACACTTTTTGCTTTGTAAAGATGGTGTTTTTGATATCTGATCGATTGATAATTATGATATTAATATTGCCACAGTAAAGGAGACAGTTTTGATAGTCTTTGTTTAATAGGCATAAAAATAAATACTGCCGAAACCTTTTTTTCTTTTTTTATATCGTGATCTGAGTGGAAACATTTGAGTCCATTTTTCCTCTATCTCGAGAAAAAAGCCTGCAAGACAAAATTGTAAGATTGTTAATAGTTGAATAAATTCAATTTCAATGATTGTATTTACAAAAGAATATATCTATACTCACCTTGTCCGGATACTGGTGAATTGCGAGTGAAATCTATCATTGAAAATTTCAGTAATAATTTGATCATTAGACATACATAATTGACGAGTTTAAATCTAAAATGAATAAAATTAGAAAATTATCCACATCCAGTTACCAGTGTACTGTTAAAACATTAAAGTATTCATTTGAGTATTCCACCTTGCTCAACAGTTTAAATTTATTATAAACAGAGCAATAAATAAGAATGACAATAAAACAGGAGTAAACTAAATTTATTAAGCGCGATAAGAAAGAAGACGATCAATCGTATAGAAGAATTAATTGCGAATTTAATATTTCCACACGCCGAGGAAATGCAATTTAAATAGGAATATATTGAAATAAAATATATTTTAAAATAATTCTATCTCTGCATACTTTTTTGAATTTTCCATAAATTTAATGTACGATAATTTCATGTATACGAAAAAGTCCGCCGTATAATAAATAATGGATTACAAGTACAATGGCAGGCAGAGAGGTACGAATTACACGGATAACGTGGACTCGGGACAATAAATAACAAAACAAAGCAATTAACCTTCTGGCTGCGTAACTGGGACAAGTATGTATGTAGCTTCGGGACGGTAGACAATAAAAAAAGAAAGGATTTCGAAATGAACAAAATGGAACGGTTTTCAACGGTCGTATCACGACGATACGTTGTACACAGTGTGCTTGAAGTAGAGACATTTTCCACGATTTGATAAATTGCTTCGACCTGTATACCGAAAACGCTTTCGAGAATGTCACTGCGAAAAGGTTAAACGATCAAATGCTTTCCATTAATTCTAACTACACACGTGCATATAAATATATATTACATGTAGCTTTGCGTCTCTTCTGTGACATGTCGTTTCGAGAATAAAAATCCTGTCAGATCGTTGACTTGAAGTAATGATTCTTGCTTTGGTAATTTATTACACATTGATCTGAATTTACGTGGCCAAAAGAGAGTACGCATAAGGAAAGATAAGTTTACAACGTTGAATAAAATAGAGTCTGATCTAATCTAGTCTCATTTATGCACCATTGATAACATCTTAAATTCCGAGATTTCGTTGATTCTAGAATAGCTACGTTTTGATTTCACGTCGATGCAATTAGAATATTCCTGGTGAACTTTCTATATTTATAATGGAAATATATCATTGAAAGAAATTTATTTTTTCATATCTTTGAATCTCGGTGAACTCGGATAGAATATTTCCTAATTAAAATCTTTACTTTTGATCTGTGATCTTGAACAGCCATGGCCTTGAATAGCAAGCACTTACTAAAAACGTAAGGACATGATTGTTTCGACGATGAGAAACGAACAAAAATATTAGCACAGAAAATTCCACGACTCCCGAGGAACATTAATCGATTTATACATCAGCGAAAGAATATTTAAATGAACAGTTATGAAATGATTGTTGATTTATGTAGCTACTGGCTTCAAGACAGAATTCTACTTACTGGAAAGAAACTTCGTGCAGAAATTTTGTATTTATTAATCTTATATCATACTTGTACTTCTGCACGTTTTTATTAAAAGAAAAATTGTACATCGTGCAAAGTATGTAGGACGATTTCCTCCTTCGAGCCTGAAGAGTCTGAAGACAGTTTCGCGAGAAAACAGTTTGTGAGACGGAAATTGTTTGGAAAACGAGGTTTCCAATGAGAATCGATTTACTCGAGGCGGGTCATCTCAAAGTTTGTGAGCCGCGCTATTTTTCAATTAGAAGGAAATTCGAAGCGGAGGAATGGCAGCGAAACGCGAGGAGAGGAAGCTCGCGAACGAAACGTTCCACATTCCCCGGGCACTCGAAACGTTGCCTAGCTTCTGCTGAGTTTCACTTGAATTTCCTTTACGGCCGGCCCTCGGCTGCCTTCTTAAGTTCAACACTCGCGCGTTCTTTTATTGTCAACCACCCGGGGAAAGGGTAGCGAAGTTGTTGCTTTATAATGGAAGAGCCAATACGTGATCGTCTCTATAGGTTCTTTTCATGGCTCTCGTAACGTCCGACAGGAACTATTAGATAACCGGTGACCTGTTACGGAGCTGCTCGTTGGCCTCTTCCTTTTCCTTTCGGTCGAGATTTTTCTTTCAGACACATTTAAATCACGAATAATGAAACATCGTATCTGCGTATTTCATTTATCCATTATTATTAGAACGTACTGTACTGAGCTGGTTGTCTGGGGACACATGAATCCAATTGTACGAACGAAGAAACGATGATCGTCTTGTCCTCGACATGCTTGACAAAAATTCAATTTGAAGCAAATTAAATTTTAGAATTAATTTGAAGGGGGATTAATTTGTCCAAAAGTTTGCAAAAGTTTTCCAGTTTCAAAGGGAATGCAAATAGCTGCTATATTCGCGCACGTCTGTTTTATTAAAGCGAACGAGAAACTAGAAAGAATATTAAAGAGTAAAAAAAAATAAGAAGGAAAAAAAAAAAGATAAGAGAAAGAAGCGAAAGTGGATAAAAAACGTGGATATTAATCAGGGAGTTTTTATTAGGCAAGGACAGTAAGAAAAGTGACGCTGGTATGGTTAATACGTCTTTTTTCTACGTGTCTATTTATTATGAAAATATAATACAAAACATCCTATGTTGTATTACATAGATAACAATGCTCAATTAACGTTTTATTCCCTTTTGTCTTGTAACGTTACCATCCAACACTATGAGAAGCATGTCAGGATAGGTAAAGTTCGTGTTCTCTTATTCCGTGTTCTTCATCTTCGTCGATTCTTTTTTTTTGTCTCGTTTTTTT